CCCAGTCCAGTATAACAGTATCTTTACAATGTCATAATGAACTCCATCTAACACCTTGACTTCATTAAACACTTCAGTCAATCAGACATCATGTAAACAAATAAGCCGAATTATTCACAGTCTTCCTGTTGAGGAATCAGATTGGCCGTTTTCTCTTACATACAATCCAATCAAATCACTGCATTTGAACAAGTGATTGGGTTCCGATCTTGATCGGTGTGTGAAAGTCTGATGAATTTGAATTATGGAAGGCGGAATGGCTTTTTATTCATTGCTATTTCTTAATTCTAAATTCTTATCTCTTAATTTACACGCTTAATTCAACATTTGTTATTGAAAATTGACATTTGTATATTTGACTCTCGCAAGATTTGTTGATCGAGATTTGTTATTGAACATTTGTATTGAACATTTGATGGAACATTTTTCGTTTTGCATTTGAAGATATGTTGAGCTAGATAACAGATAAGAATTTAGAATTAAGAAATAAATGAAGATCATTGAATAACAAGTGGTTGTCAAGCAAGATACGCCCACTTTCCTCATACATTTTCAGTATATCAAGGGCAGTCACCTATCCGTGTTAAATCATACCAAAAATCTAATTTGTGCAAGCTATTGTTGATTTAAACAAACACACATTATTTAATAAAATTCTGACATAAACTGTTATCTCTATTGCGTTAACAAGCCAAAAAATTTTGATGCGTTTTTACTAACTCAAGGGCAATAACTCAAATTCTGTTGATCGACAAAAACGTCAAATTCTAAGATCTCATCATCATAAATGATCATAATTGTGGACGGAAGGACTGACAAACAGAGGCGACAGCATTATTATGTGGTTGTATATAAAGCCATTCCAACTTCCATATTGAATAAGTCCTCTTCACTGATAATTCCAGTCGACCCAGCTGTAAATTGGAAGGGATAATCTGGGAAAGATTAATGCCAAGAGGTTTTGGCTAAGGACCAGCTGGTAGAAAAGATCCATAAGTGTTAACCAAAGTTGTTATCCATGTTTCTTTAATTTTTTTTCTTTATTAATGTAATTTTTAATACAAACCTTATTTGTTATATTTTCTGAATCATCTAACAGACGTTGAGCTGCTTGAGAAGCACTACTAGCTTGTTTACGACTAGCCTCACATTCAGCTTCTATTCTAGCTTGATTAGCAATTAATGTAATTAGTCTTCTAATGATGCTAAAATAAGACACAATAATTTTAATAGCAGTGATGACTAAAATATTGAAGATCAAGTCCAAATAAAAACAGAAAAGTGAGAAACTATGATAAATAATCAATTTAAAACTGCATTATATATTACTATTGGATTTTTATTATACAATATCCTTCTATCTATCTTTTTTTGATCAAAGTACAATTCAGCCAAATATTGACCATTTAGTGCCGACTTTAACTCATTTTATAAATGGTAAGTTAAATTTGATAATCAGATTGCCCTCGAGACAAACCTTTCATTGAGATTCACATGACAAATCAGCTAAGTCATTTTTCGTTCGTGTTTAAAAACAATACTATATGCAAAACAAAGAACTGTGCAGAGTAATGACACGTTATAACTTACAACCACAGAAATAAGGCAAATCCAGCAATATAAAAGTTTCTTTGGGCACGGAAGAGTCTCATTAAATTCTTAGTCTCAGCATCAGGATGGTGGTTGAGATCAACTTCAATTGGTGCTGAAAACTTCCTTACTTCTCTTATAGAGTCTGTAAAATAAAGACAAGATTGTAGTATAAGGGCCAGATTCCTTTGACAATTGGAAATCGAAAAAGAGTAGGCTAATGCCCCTGTCCTGGTGTTGCCCGTCTTCATTAACCCTATTAGGTGCAGAAGAGTAGAACGTAAGACTCCATATATTTTATTTCCAATTGTTATGGAGGGTCTCCAGACACCAGGCAGTTATGAGAGATTATTTTTACAGAATGTGTCAAAATACATCTTACCGGCAAAGAGAATCACTAAGTTAACTAGGAAAATATGGAAATAAATTGACACATGATTCAGTTAAATTTTAGGAAAATTTGAATGAGAACTGGATATTAAATGATTCCTGATCTTGATAAGTAGTATTTACTTTAAACATTTCTGAACTTTTATCTGATGTAAATTACCTGGTGTCATAACAAGAAAATCTCTGTATAATCTAATAAATCAATAAAACTAAGTTATTATTAAAAACGCTTTAATTATGACACCATGGAAGTCAACTGATGCAATGCATATATGCTCTTATCAGAGTTCAATTTAAGCTATATCGAATCCCAGTTTGAGAGTCAAAATGACCTCTTTTGCGATCCATTATTTACTCGAACGATCTGCCAATCAAATAATATTGTATATTTTTTGTAAAAATTTCTGCCAAATCTAGAAATATACCACAACTCTCTTCAACCTTAAGGAATTAATGTCATTGGCAATATCGATCTTAAGTCTGAACTGCTACTGAAATTTATATAAGGTGTTGAATCAAAATTTAACTTGATTAGCCAAAACTGAAATATTGTATGCTAAATTGCTAATCAAATTTTTCAGCTCTAGCTCTTATGGCCAACTTTGAAAATTTGAATTTTATGTTCTTTCTAAGAACATTCCATTAAATATCAGTAGAGACACCATTTGAATTGGTTTGGATGCCAAAAGATCATCAGAGTGAACCTCTCATTTAATACTCAGCTATATAACAATGATTTTCATAAATATTGTATTCAATTGCTTTAACTAGACAAATTCCAATAGCATAGGCCCTATTAAATGGGGACATTCCACATCTCCGCAGGTGCAGGGATTTTAGATCTATTCTTATGTCATGTTTTTTTTTTTTGGCGAAACTGATCTAGTATTGGCCATTTAAAACTGCGTGCTCAGCCAAATGTTCAAAGGTCACAGAGTCACAAGATACTAACAAAACGAAAGTTACGATGATGCCCAACACTAATTTACAATCATCTTAAAGGTAATTTAATATTATGTTAGCGAAATCGCATCTATTGAGGTGTGGAAAATCACCATTTTACAGGGTATATTTCTTCTGACTCTACTCCAAAATATCCATCAGAGGCTTGAATAGAGGTAGATGTTTCGGACAAGATTTTTTTGTACTTTTGTCAATCATTAAATTGGTAAATAAATATATAATAGTGATCTTACCAGCAAAAAGAATAACCAAGATAACTATAAATACATTAAAATATATATGACTATAACTTCCTATTTTAGCTAAAATACCAGATCGAAATATGCTTTGCCACCTGAAATACAGAAAAAACAATGATTGAGTAATATAAGAAATATAAGAAATGTTACATTACATTACATTGGAGAATTGCTTTCTATAATTCATACACGTCATGTCTTTGTTTCATCCCATTAATATGAGATTTGACATGGTGATAATTCTAAAAATTTAGTAGCGACCAAAAGTGGAAAGGTGAATTGACTCAATACCATATAAAATTACATTAAATTATGTATGGACCTGGACCGAAACATCTGTCTCTATTCCAGTCTCTGATAGCTATTTGGACAGATGTCAGCACTCAGATGGTGTAGAGACCGAAATAATAAGCCCTGTTAGATGGGGACATCCCACATCTCCACAGGTGCAGAGGTTTTTGAACTATTTAGATACCTCGGATCTGCTTATCCAAGGAATATTTGGAATATTTTATATACTTTATATCCAGCTGAAAACGTTCTGTCAAAATATCCATTAGAGGCTGGAATAGAGGCAGATGTTTCAGACTAGTATGGCCCCTACTCAGTGACAATATCACATCTAGACATGTATATCAGTCTGTAGAACCAGGTGGAGCCAGAGTTATCCATGGCCAAGATTTTTCCAGCTAATAATTGACTTACCGTGATGGTTTAATCCATGGTAATAACAATATAAATACTACAGCTAACTGAACGTATAAAACACCAGCGATAAATGTCCATTGAACACTCATTTTTTTTAATTTAAATTAACCTCTTTTACAGTTAATATTGTCTGAAATAATTAAAACATATATATCTATTTGCACTTTGTACTAGCCTAGTTCTCAATCTCATGAGATCAGCACCACAGCAGAGACTAGACTAGAAGAAGGCATTAAAGTTGATTATCAAAACAACGAGAAGTAAAAAGTGCCAATGAAAGATTCTAATCGTCAAATGAAAAGAAGACACATCAGCACTTAAAACCCTTGACGTGTCTCTAATGGGCATATTCATATTGTCAAAAATCTATTTATATATTCATAAACAAGATGACGAGATTTCCAGAAAACTTGACCAAGCCAAAAGCAAGTAGGGTCATATGAAGAGGCAAAGTTTACCCTCTACAAAATCTAAGTAAGCTTCACTGTGTCAAAACACACAAATTGCAAATGAAGATTCATATCATAGAGGGAGAGAGATAGAAATAATATGTCATTAAAAAAAAACCTTCGCAGAATACACAAAGTGCAAAAAGTTGACGAGTACCTGTTCGCTACGTAATTTCCGGTTCCGATTTGTAAGATTGTGACCTTTCGACAGGTCATCGCTATGGCGACGTTGTCATATTTACAATATGGCTGCCCATGAGAAAATGTTTTAGGAAAGAGTCTTTTAAACACAAAACGTAGTTAACTCTCTTCGTTAAGGGAGAAATATATAGTAGCAAAATGTCTCACAGGTACAGTAGAATTTAGCCACATTTGTTTCCGTCGCTCTATTTTTGTGTCAGTCCTAAAAACAAGTAGACTCTATTAATGTTTTTTTTACGTTTAATTTTTAAATTTTTAATTTTTCCTGCTTCTCGTTTTTCTTGGGTGTTGTGGAGATATATATCAAACAGTCTATAGGCTTTGTAGACAAGATGTCTCAAATCTACGCAGGGCAATACATTGATACTAGGGATAACTTTAGGCCAAACACTAACACACTACCGGTACTCACTAGACCTTCTCCAACTTCACAATGTCAAATCAATACGTCAATAGTCAAACTAGCTAAATTCGGAAAATGGTGATCTAAGGCCGACGTTTACTTTGAGCCTTAGGATGTGTACTAGCTGTGGTGTGTAAACAAGATTTATGGTCAAATTTTGAACTTTCCGTGCGTTGAAAACGATCAAATTTACACCTCACGGATAGAACAACATATCGTGGGTGACCGCTTGAAACCTCGTATAACGATATCTGACACGAAATTACTTTTCGAGAAAAACACAAAAAACTATTTGTACATGTATTTTGTTAAAATATTTTTTATTATTTTTTTTACCTCTATACGTGGTTTTCATTCTTGGAAAATATAAACCTTGTATAACAATTTGAATTCTTCTGCCCATTGAACCAAAAACTCGTTTAATAATACAGTATATGAGGTTTTTCATTTTCATCTGCAGAATCAGGAACATTGAACCTCGTATAATAATATATTTTACGAGGTTTTAAATCTGACTGTTTATATATGTGTTATTTAATTAGCACTTTTTGAGTTATTTACAATCAAGCTAAGAATACGAGGATTTGATGACAAGATCCGCGCTTTTACGAGCTTTGAACAGTACCAAAAAGTCAAAATGACCAAATATGGCATATACGAGGTTTCAAGCGGTCACCCACGATTTCCACACTAAAAAGTCCCTGGATTAAATGTCAACACCTAGTTATACTATTCTAGTTATGTTTATTTATTGTATAGTATAAGCTTACTTTTTAATCGAAAAATGAAAATGATGAAATTTTTCTCAGTAATTTTCCTGAAGGCCATCAGGGATTGGCTCTCGTGAACTGGACTGAATATGCAGTCAAAATCCATGAAATATACTAAGCTATTACGAACTTTGTCTCGTACATACTAGGTTGACTGCAATCCATGGCCACCTTTTTTGTATAATGCAATGTGCACAGTAATTTGAATGATTTGTATGCTGTACAGCCAGTCATAGCCCTGTAAACATTATGGCGTTCTGTAGAATCGTACAGGTGACATGTTTTCATATTTTCATTTATTTTGGTACTAGTACACTGATATTTTAATGCTTGCCTGGTAGGGCTGGGTTTTTTTATCAAGCTTTTTTCTTAAGTGTGGTTTTTACTGGTTTTTGAAACAAAATTTTGGTTTTTTTTTTTATCTAAAACTTCGAAAATAAGAAAAACAAGCACTTTTTTTTTTACTGATATTGTTTTATTTGATTCTATTGAATAATATTATTTTTTTAGTTACTATAATAAACAATGGACAGATGGACAGTCAGCTCTGGTGGAAATCTTACAACAAGAATTACCACCAGAACCTCCCAAACCAGAACGGGTATGTAGAATTTTCTTTCATCAGCAGTATGGGCTGAATGTTAGACAGGACCATAGGATGTCAATGATGTATTGGACCTATTCCGACCCATGTCAGATAAAGAGATGATTATTATTATTATTATTGTTATTGTTATTGTTATTGTTGTTATTATTATTATTGTTATTGTTATTGTTGTTATTATTGTTATTGTTATTGTTATTATTGTTATTAAAGGTGCAGTATGCAAACTTGTTATTTTCAAAAACTGTGTTGACTATATGTGAAATGATTTGAAAAAGTATACAAGGTTCACTTGATATTTCTGAATTTGTATTAAAAGGGTTAATTATAAAGGGAAATAATTTAATTATAAATCAAGCTGTTTGATATAGTTTTATTGTTGGGCATTAACAACTCAACATTATTAGTTGAAAACTTCAGAATACATAGGAAACATAAGCTTACTCTCCTATAATTTGACTAAAATCTGTTTTCCAACACCAATTAAAAACATTGTGGTTTAAGTAAACCTTTTAAATAGTTGAAGAGTTCTAAAAGGTAAGATGCTGTAAGTTAAAACTATTAGATCAGCCAAGAGACAGATTTTTGTCTTCTACTGCTCCTCTAAAATTAAAAATATTCCAATGCTTGTATAGTCTATGATGTGATACTTTTTTAAAATTAGATATTTTATTATGATCTCAATTAAAACAAATCATAATTTTATGAAACAAATTAATTTTTCGCCTAAAACAAAATAACTAATTTGACAAACGAAATAATTTTAAAAAATATTGTGCTTACGAGGCTTCATATCATGTAATAACCATATTGACAATGTTTTCATAAAACCAATAAGATTTATTCAATATTCTATTATTTTAAGTCATTAATTGTTTTTTTTCAGGATCGTCTAGCTGCGTTCCAGCTGTTAGCTACCATGTACATCAAATATGTTCAAATATTCCGTAAATTAGAACAATCATATGATCAAGTGGTTCATCCTCAGAAAAGAAGAGTGTTACGTCATGTTTTAGATGGAGTTATGGGTAGAATATTAGAGTTAAAACATGAAATGGTTAATCTAGAATTTGCTGAATATCATTATTTTGATGATGTTTTATCAGATTTAAAATTGACACCAGTAAGTCATGCTTAATATCAGTCCTTATATATTTAAAGGGACAGGTTCGCCATTTTCGGGTGATGATCGCATAATTCCTTCAAAAATACTTCAAACTAGGAATTTCACATTCAAGATTCCTTGAAATGTTGAAAGCTGGTCCTTGGCCAAACCTCTTGGCATTGATCTTTCCCGGATTATCCGTACCCATTAACAGTTGGATCGACTTGAATGAGTGAATATGACTTATTCAAGGTCATCGGACTATCACAGGCCGATCAAGATCAAAACCCACAGACGTAACCAAGCAAATGAAGTCATGTAAAGAACAAACTCTCTAACTGAATGTGCTATAGAACATCACAACATAATTATGAACATGACCTAAGATTTAAGAGAGATAGAGCATATAATGTTATTGTACATGACAAAAGATAGTCAACGAGTTTTTCTTTGATTCTTCAGAATGACATTGAAATTCCAATACCTAAATATTTTATCAATGAACGTACTAAGTCATTGAAAGAAAGAGAGAAGTTATTGGGGCAGATTCTGGCAAAGATTGGTCCTCAAGATCAAGACAAGGTTTGTAAATTTATCCTTATTAATGGAATAGCTCTGTTCATTTGTTGAATATCAGATTATCTAAAAGGGGCAGAAAGTTCAAGGTCAATTGGGCAACACCACATAAACTACATACTTGTTACTGGTAGGTAGGGAAATAGCTTCGGCCGATGCTGATATCACAAACTTGGTAGTTGTTGGTAAATGACAAGTTAATGTTCGCTTTTAGCGGATGCTGATATCACAAACTTGGTAGTTGTTGGTAAATGACAAGTTAATGTTCGCTTTTAGCGGATGCTGATATTGCAAACTAGGTAGTTGTTGGTAGATGACAAGTTAATGTTCGCTTTTAGCGGATGCTGATATCGCAAACTTGGTAGTTGTTGGTAAATGACAAGTTAATGTTCGCTTCTAGCGGATGCTGATATCACAAACTAGTTAGTTATTGGTTGATGACAAGTTAACGTTCTCTTCCAGTGGATGCTGATATCACAAACTAGGTAGTTGTTGGTAGATGACAAGTTAATGTTCGCTTCTAGCGGATGCTGATATCGCAAACTAGGTAGTTGTAGTAGTTGGTAGCTGGATTTGTTCAAATGGACGATCTGTGTTGTTAGTTGGTAAAATTTTAATTTGACTGAATTTTTTTCTATAGGACTCTGATGAGGTCAGAATGCCTTTAGAAGAAGCTATACGTTTGATCCAAGTACATGAAAGAGCTCGTCAAGGTCGTTTAAGAGCCAAATTTATGAGAGAAATTCGTCAACAAGAAGAGAGAGAAAGAAATGCATCTAAACAAGGGCAGTCAACTCTTGATCCAGAAGTTGCTGTTTTACGAATTCAAAAAGTAAGTGTTGATATATGCTGTATTTGTTACCTCTGAGAAATATGGGAAATACGACTTCCGAGATGGTATAATATAACATTCTTTACTTCAAATTTCGCTCGGAAGTTGTGTTTTCTACTGGAGAACTCTGGTAGCTAAAATTATTTTGAGTTCACGACATATGACGTCACATGACGTATTAATGTTGGGCAACCAATCAGAATTATGTAATGGACACGTGATATAATTATTATGCAAATAAAGTATATTTCTCTCCAAGAATGTGTCCCTAATAGAATAAAATAATAGGTAATTACAACTTCCTAGTAGAAAACTTGTCACTTCCCAGAGGTAACGAATACAGCATTAGTAGCACAACCAGTGGCAGAGACAGCCTTTTGAGACTGGGGTTACAAATAGGTGGCAGACTGACTCAATGGGGGGACAACTTTTAAGGCTGAATTAAAAATTCTTGAGGGTTCTCCTGAGAATATTTTCAAAAAATTGAATTAATTTGGTGCATTCTGACACAAAAAGGTGTAAAATTATGGGTCCAAACCATTTGTCTAGGGGCACCCCCTAACGACATAAATTATCATTGTCTTATTGTTCTATTTTAGATTTGGAAAGGATTTGCCCAGAGAAGAAGAACAAAAAGAGAGAGAGATGAAGAAATGATATTTATAGGAATGGTAGGTTTCAAGATTTAAATCTATATTGACATCAATTCAAAACACAATAATTTATATAAACATTGTACAACTACTGACACAAGCTTGGCCAGTGTTTTTTGTAGGCCAGAAAATAGAGTGAAGACTTATTTTCTTTTTTTCTTTTTTATACTCCATTGAGGTTACAATTTCATGTACTTTTAACTTTATGTGCAAAATATAAAGCAGACATTTGTCACAAGAAGGCTTAGTTACAGGCTTTTGTGATGAAAAATATTCCCTAAGGATCGTGACTGATTGAAAATAAATAAAAAACGTTAGTTTTATGTATGAAATGATATTTGACTGTACAGCTATAAAATTGTCTAAAATATATATTTCAATAACTTTTCTGTATTATGCATGACTCCATTTTGGAATTTTAGGCGCCACCACCATTACCATCCAGCAGTAAAAATTTACCTCAGACTCTAGCTCAGAAAACAGAAGAGCAACGTCGAAAAGTCCAGGACCAGCATGAACAAGAGTTTCAACAAGCATTGATTAGTATTAAAGATAAAATACGAGATACAGAAGGTCAAGATATTAAAGAAACTATGATGGATCAAATTAGACAATGGTTTATTGAGTGTCGGTATGTACTGTTTATTTATCAGCAATCATTAAAATATATGTACCTAATGATAAATATGAAGTATGTGAACTCTTCTGAAAGGTATTCCAAGTTGACAAACTCAATAGAATAAGAGTGGTATCAGGTGTTTTACAGGAGTGAGCATGCCTTGACATTCATTTATAAGAGATCTAGTTAATCTCAATTGAAAAACCCTGTAAATAAAAAATTAGAAACATTCAAAAATTTTACGTCATAGAAGTATATTCTTGCTTTGATCAGTTATTATAGTTTATTGTGGGTAAGTTATGTGCTGAAGGAAATTTATTAATACTTGTTTATGGATACAGGGAAGAAAATGTATCTTTGACATATAATCAATTAAGATAATAGATAATTATTTCGATCACTTTATCCAGCCCTAGCTAGAATTTGAAGAACCACACCAGAATCAGTTTTATCAACAGAATATGTGCTTAGCATTATTATAAATCATAATTTTTGTATAGTACTTATGGCTTATGCTTAATAGTGTTAGTGACTTGTACCTATTAGGGTAGGCAGTAAAGAATCTTAAGGAGATGCCTTTTTTGACCAATTTTTTATTGTAAATGCTTATTCCATAGTGAATATTTTCTGTTGTACATGATCCAAAATGTCAATGTTTTGTTTTTCAAAATGAATTGAAATAAAATATATATATGTTATAGAGATGCAACAGGAAAGTTTCCAGAATACCCTGATGAAGATGATGGTGGATCAGCTCTTATTTTCAAACAACAAGATCCAGCTGAACTAGAAAAACAGATGAAAGAAAAGGTAAATTGCACAATTTCAGATCAGCTCATTTCAAATAGATTTTTATGGTTTTGATTCCAAAATATTGACTGTATTAAAGGTATACTATCTCTTAGGATGACTAAAAAATTGAAATTTTTAAACTTGGTTAAAATGAGTCTTATGTACATTAGTAGAGTTACCTGGTATCAAAACTATACAACAGAATCCCTCTATAATCCAATAAATCTATGAAACTAAGTAATAATTCATAAAACTAAGTAATGATTCATAAAACTTAGTAATAATTCGTAAAACTAAGTAATAATTCATTAAACTAAGTAATAATTCATAAAACTAAGTAATAATTCATTAAACTAAGTAATTAAACTAAGTAATAATTCATTAAACTAAGTAATAATACATTAAACTAAGTAATAATACATTAAACTAAGTAATAATTCATTAAACTAAGTAATGATACACTAAACTAAGTAATAATTCATTAAACTAAGTAATAATTCATAAAACTAAGTAATAATTCATAAAACTAAGTAATAATACATTAGACTAAGTAATAAAACATTAAACTAAGTAATAATACATTAAACTAAGTAATAATTCATCAAACTAAGTAATAATACATAAAACTAAGTAATAATACATTAAACTAAGTAATAATTCATAAAACTAAGTAATAATACATTAAACTAAGTAATAATTCATTAAACTAAGTAATAATTCATAAAACTAAGTAACAATTCATAAAACTAAGTAATAATTCATAAAGCTAAGTAGTAATTCATCAAACTAAGTAATAATACATAGAACTAAGTAATAATACATTAAACTAAGTAATAATTCATAAAACTAAGTAATAATTCATAAAACTAAATAATAATACATTAAACTAAGTTATAATACATTAAACTAAGTAATAATACATTAAACTAAGTAATAATTCATTAAACTAAGTAATGATACATTAAACGAAGTAATGATACATAAAACTAAGTAATAATTCATTAAACTTAGTAATTAAACTAAGTAATAATTCATTAAACTAAGTAATAATTCATAAAACTAAGTAATAATTCATTAAACTAAGTAATTAAACTAAGTAATAATTCATTAAACTAAGTAATAATTCATTAAACTAAGTAATAATTCAAAAAACTAAGTAATAATTCATTAAACTAAGTAATAATTCATTAAACTAAGTAATAATTCATTAAACTAAGTAATGATACATTAAACTAAGTAATAATTCATTAAACTAAGTAATAATTCATAAAACTAAGTAATAATTCATAAAACTAAGTGATAATACATTAGACTAAGTAATAAAACATTAAACTAAGTAATAATACATTAAACTAAGTAATAATTCATCAAACTAAGTAATAATACATAAAACTAAGTAACAATTCATTAAACTAAGTAATAATTCATAAAACTAAGTAATAATTCATAAAGCTAAGTAATAATTCATCAAACTAAGTAATAATACATAAAACTAAGTAATAATACATTAAACTAAGTAATAATTCATAAAACTAAATAATAATACATTAAACTAAGTAATAATACATTAAACTAAGTAATAATACATTAAACTAAGTAATAATTCATTAAACTAAGTAATAATACATTAAACTAAGTAATGATACATTAAACTAAGTAATAATACATAAAAATTCATAAAACTAAGTAATAATACATTAAACTAAGTAATAATTCATAAAATTAAGTAATAATACATTAAACTAAGTAATAATTCATAAAATTAAGTAATAATAAATAAAACTAAGTAATAATTCATTAAACTAAGTAATAATTCAAAAAACTAAGTAATAATTCATAAAACTAAGTAATAATTCATTAAACTAAGTGGTAATTCATAAAACTAAGTAATAATTCATAAAACTAAGTAATAATTCGTTAAACTAAGTAATATTTCATTAAACTAAGTAATAATACATAAAAATTCATAAAACTAAGTAATAATACATTAAACTAAGTAATAATTCATAAAATTAAGTAATAATACATTAAACTAAGTAATAATTCATAAAATTAAGTAATAATAAATAAAACTAAGTAATAATACATTAAACTAAGTAATAATTCATAAAATTAAGTAATAATAAATAAAACTAAGTAATAATTCATTAAACTAAGTAATAATTCAAAAAACTAGGTAATAATTCATAAAACTAAGTAATAATTCAAAAAACTAAGTGATAATTCATAAAACTAAGTAATAATTCGTTAAACTAAGTAATAATACATAAAACTAAGTAATAATTCGTTAAACTAAGTAATAATACATAAAACTAAGTAATAATACATTAAACTAAGTAATAATACATAAAACTAAGTAATAATACATTAAACTAAGTAATAATACATAAAACTAAGTAATAATTCGTTAAACTAAGTAATAATTCATAAAACTAAGTAATAATTCGTTAAACTAAGTAATGATTCATAAAACTTAGAAGCATGTTTCAATAATTATTTAGTTTAATGAATATATTGTCTTATATAGAGATTCTATTCTTTAGCCATGGCACCTGGTAAGTCCAACTGATGAATATATACTCTTGTTGAGTAAGTTTGAGACTTTAAATTGTATGTCCATTCTAAGAGGTAGTATCCTGTTAACTGCAGAGATCTTTAAAGACTATGTTTTGAAAGATTCTATTTGTAATGAATTATTTGTAGTAACACAAGGAAAAGTATTGGTGAGAATTCAGTTGACATTGACCAATAGTAAATCAGAATTAGGTGTAATATTCAAAGATGGTGTCATTAATTACAAGTGTTTTGTAAACGCTCTGATACCCATTTCCCAAATTCATATGGTGGTCATTCTCATAATGAATATTCATGTGAATCCTGTCTTAAAGGGACAAGTGCGCCATTTTGGGGGGCTGATATGAGTCTTGAATGTATGTAAATAGTCTACAGAAGTACTAGAAATGTATGAAAGTCGCATAATTCCTTTAAAAATATTTCAAACTAGGAATTTTACTCACTATTTCTATATGTGTCTTTTCTATATACCACAGAGTATCTTAAATTGGCAAGTCATTATTTTACCATTCAAACGTAGATAATTCTGGACACACATGGATTTGAAAGCTCAAATTTCGATGGTGACCTGTGAACACTATTACTGATTAGCTCAGCTAAAAAATTCCAATTTCTGAGACTAAAGTATGATTGGTCAAATAAGTGTCCCTTTAAAAAAAAATTTCTTTTACAGGAAGATGACAAAGGGAAAGGAAAAAAGGACAAGAAAAAGGATAAGAAAAAGGATAAGAAGGATAAGAAAGGGAAAGGCAAGGGTAAAAAGGGGAAAGGGGATGATGATGAAGAAGAAGAAGGATGGAAAATGGCCCAGTCTAATTTTGTTGGTGCTGTTCAAGAGGGTTCTGAAGACTACAAAGGTAAATTTATATTAAATATCAAATTATTTCAATACAGTTTTTTACATATGATGTTATCATCACATTACTCTCTGTCTATATTGAACTTTGAATGGGATTTTTTCTCTCATTTCATAAATATTCAAAATAAATTTTTAAACTTTATGCCATTGATCTTAGATCCATAGAAATATAAGGTTCAGTGATTTTACATTTAAAATAGACTTCCCTCCCAGAAAATTCATTGAATATGACCTACTTTTAGAACTGAAAATTCCCCTGTGTAAAATCTTGTTTTTTTCCAGTAATTCATATGAAAATAATTGTCAAAATTCATTGTGGAAAACAGTGTAGTCAGAGAGTAAAATGTTGATTTTCCACCAGATGATTCTATAATTTTGTTTTGTTTTTTGCCTGCCTATTATGTTTGTAGTATTTTGTATTTGTAGTGTGGATCAAGGCAGGGTATGCTTACTCATCAGAACACTTTTCAATATAAAATAAAATGAGTGTTTTTTTTCTTAACGTAATATGCCTTTGGTGATTAGTTCCCTGTCTGGAAATCGTGATCCTTAACTACTAGTCTATGATATGTGATTACATGACAATCTGGACATAGTACTGGTAAACAGTGGCTACTATCAACAAGAGTCAGAAATTTCACTCTGGACTGTTCAGACAATTGTGAAAATCAGGGAATTTAAAAAAAAACTATGTTCCAATGAGTTTTATATTTATAAAACAAGGATTATCCCTTCATTTGACATTATTTAAAAAATAATAATGTCATTAGAAACCTGGCAGAGATTTTATAACTTAATTACCATTGTCAGTGCAGTCGTTTTAAATCAACAATCAAGCTTTTATCATGCATGGAATTTTAGCATAAGACTATTAGTGTTATTTTGCATCATAAATTAAATGTATAACTTCTTTGAAATTGCAATTTTTCAACTAGTTGCTGGTGTTCAGTCATGTTAAGATTCTACTGGTATATAGAACTGTCAATCAGGATGATTTTGATATCAAACTATGTTTTAATATTTTAGGAGTTTGGCAGACAAGAGATGAATCTGAAAATTTCTCTCAGAAACATGATGGTGAATTAATTAAAGAAGAGAAACGTAAAGAAGTTGAAGATGAAATCAGAATTCAGGTTGATGAGTTGATGAGAACAGAATTAAAAAATCTTAAAACTGTAAGCTATTACTTCATCTCTTATTTTATTTTTTAAAGGGACAGATGCGCCATTTAAGGAAAGTTGATTTGAGTCTGGAATATATGTAAATAGTTTTCAGAAGTACTAGAATTGTACCAAGATCGCATAATTCCTTTAAAAATACTTCAAACTAGGAATTTCACTTTCTATATCTATATATGACTTTTCTATATATCACAGAGTATCTTAAATTGACGAGTCATAATTTTAACATTCAAACGCAGATAATTCCCGACACACATGGATTTGAAGGCTCAAATTTGGCTGTGATCTGTGAACACTATTACTGATTGGCTTAGCTTAAAAAATACCTTTTTCTGAGACTAAAGTTTGATTGGTCAAAAAGAATGGTGCAACTATCCCTTTAAATCTGATTAAACCAAAGGTTTAAATGTTTGAATTCTTGTCATGTCACTCAGTGAGTTAGATGATTGCTCACTAATTCAAAGCTATGGGGTTTTATCCTGGCATAGGTTCAGATAGTACCATCAGGATTTTTAACCCAGCTTCACCTTGTCAATGATGCAGTTCGAAGGGGCAGTCATGGAAAAAATGTCAAGAATGGGATGAAAAACCGACGTCCTATGCGCTACAGGCTGTGTCAAGATCCCTTGACAGTTGGAATAAAAGAAAGAGTAGCATAATGCCACTGTCCTAGCAAACTTTTCCTTATTCCCTGCATGGCTTTCTTTGTCTTCATTAGCCCACATGGTGCAGAAAAGTAGGATGCAAAACTCCATTCATTTCATTTCTGACTAAATGTAAACAATCATGAATATAATATCTTTAGGCAGTAGATCGTGATAAGGGCAAGAAGAAAGGTAAAAAATCTGGTAAGAAGAAGAAAAAGAAGAAGAAGAGTGGGAAGAAGGGAAAAAAGAAGAAAGAAAAAGATTTAACACCAGATAGGTAGGAATTGAGAATTTTGAAATATTGTTGAAATATAATCTGTTGTAGAATAAATAAACTATAATTTCTACTGATTTCTAGATAGTAGACTCTGCTTTTTTGTAAAATATTTTTTAAAGAAAAACGTCACATATTATACCTGAAAATTTTGCTAAAGTATGTTATTTATATCTTTATATCTTCTTGATAAAACTGAATTTGTTTTAAAAAGGTTAATTAAAAACAGAGAGTATTAATTGTTAATTAAGCAGTTTGACCTAGTTTTTAGCTTTGTAATGGCTCGATATTATTAGTTGAAACCTTAAGAAAATGTAGGAGACATATTTCTCTATAATTAGGTGTTATTTACTTAAATCCGTACAGTAGTTTCCTAACAGCTCCCAAAAAAGCATAATGAACATAAATGAAATTTATGTGAACTCTCAAAATAGTTTTTAAGTGAAAACTTTCATATACATTAAAGGACACATTTCTTAAGATATTGGTGTACAGTTTTCACAAATTTGGACACAAAATTTTTTTGACCTATAAAGTAAAGCAGAATGCCCTTTTAAACAAATAGACGACTTTCAGAAACTACAACCCAGAACCCAGTCACCATTTTTTGATTTAACTAAGCAAATGACATCATGTAAAAACCTCTATATTTGAAATGTATTTTGTAGAACTATAGAAGATTTATATGAAGAATTAGTATCTCAAGGTATAATAGTACGATCACCAACTGTTAGTTTAAAAGACTATTGTGGTGAATATAGTTATCTTGGTACTACTTTACGTCAAGCTAATATAGAACCTATGCCATCATTGAGTGATGTTCGTAGACTTGTTACAGAGTTTGGTATACTTCACTTAGGTAAGTCATTCTGGTTTACTAATAGCAAAAATATTGTAAGTTTGGGAAGGGATATAATTATCTGAGATTAATATTAGCTTTGATAGCTAGTGGAGCTTGTTTACAGCTATACTGAACACTTATCAGAATTGAACAACAACATCTGGTTCCCCTTGATTCAACAAAAGCTTACCATCGAAATGAAACACTTGTCAGTTTTGTTTGAATCAACTTGCAATATCAAAGAAATTTGCTAGATTTATATTTCTGGAAAGAGCATAACTCTTCCATTACTGAAATTGAGCTGTCTGCGTAAGTTTGTACACATTTAAGATTCTAAACAGATGGAAATCAACAGTTTTGAATAATGTGGCTGTTGAGGCAAAATTTCCTTCATCGCACAACTGTTTCAATATGTTCAGTCGTTCAATGGGAGCCACGGTGGCTCAGTGAGTTAGACGCTTGCTTGCTAACCTGAAGGTCCAGTGTTCAATACCGGCATAAGTCGAGATAATACCTTCATATTTTTCAACCCGGTTTCCCCCTGTCAGTGATGCAGGTAAGAGGGGCTGATATGGAAAACACAACTAGTCGTTCGGATGGGACAATAAACCGAGGCCCTGTGTGCTACAGGCTCTGCACATTTAAGATCCCATGACAGTTGGAAATCGAAATAGAGCAGGCTAATGCACCTGTCCTGGCAAAATTTCCCTCATTGCATCCTGCATGGCGTTGTCCGTCTTCATAAGCCCACATGGTGCAGAAAAGTAGGACGTAAAATCCATTCATTTCATTTCATTTCAGTCGTTCAGTTTGTTTAGTCTGATGCAAAAAAGTAGGTCCTATATTAAATTGTTCATATTATAGGTTCAGCTGCTGTTCATGAGAAAGCACCTTTAACTAAATCTCTGTTATTAGCTGGTCCTCGAGGAACTGGTAAAAAAATGTTGGTACATGCTATATGTACTGAAACTGGTGCCAATCTTTTTGATTTGAGTCCTGCTAATCTGGCGGGAAAATATCCTGGAAAAGATGGTTTGAAAATGTTGATGCATCTAATATTTAAGGTAACTTCATCAACTATCAATAAAGTGAATGAACTGTTTATGTTTATGTTTTCAGTTTATTTAGATCTGGATGTGAAAATATATCTTTACTTGTACATATTTGTCAGTGGCGGCTGCCCCCCTTGCAGCCCTGAATGCAAGTTTTTTGGGCATGACTCTCTTAACTAGGTTAGAAATTTGGGCAACCTGAGATATTTGGCCCCCCTCTGACGTCAACCTGACTCCGGCACTGATAGTTGTTCATTTATCTAAGTTATCAGTTGCTTTGAATTATCAATTTTTAGTATTCCTGCAAAAAGATGAAAGTCTGCTATAATTTTCCTTTCTCTAACGTACAAAATTTATCATTATTTTATTTTTCTTCAGGTTGGTCGAGCTTTACAACCATCAGTATTTTATATTGGAGATTGTGAGAAAATGTTTAAAAAGAAAATTCCTAAAACGGATCCAGTAAGTTGTATTTCTGATTATGTTTATAAGTATTATGGATTTCTTGAACTATTTCTATTCTTTAATAGACAACTTTCGGGCCTTCATTTATGTATCCTGGTCATCCGACTCAAATAGAAATTTGAAAGGGCTAGACTGGATTTTTCAATGAGTTTGTGTGTTCTTAATCATTAAATTCATAATCCTTCATACAAACACGTAGAGGAAGATGCCCTTACTTTTCGTGAAAGTTTCAACTTGAAAAATCCAAGCGTTAAGTCACAATCGATAAAAAAATTCTTAAACGGTTACGTAAGTATTCTAAATCTCTTGGCCTCCATTTTTACTGTTCTGGAAAATAGCGATTATGACAACTCAATTTTGATTGGACCAATTGAACCAATCAGCATTAACTACACATATTTCCCACCGGAAGACGCGGTGGAAAATAAATGTAGCGATCAACTTAAATTTTCATTTCTCATTATTGTGATTTTGTGTATTTTGCTATAATGATAATAATCCATAATTTCCATGTAACAACCGGATAAAGACAAACAAAATTGATTTTTATATTTCTAATGGCAAATTCGTCGCCTTTTGTAAACAAAACCTGCGCATTTCGGTAGTCTCAGAATTCACTTTCCCAGATGCTAAGAAACGATTCGCGAGAAAACACCTTGTATCAATTATAATAGAAAACTTTGATGTTTTAAACAATTCCTCAGTGGCCAGCTTTAGACGTAACCACTAGAGTAAGGTCGAACACTGTCCTTCTTGACTTTTCATTCTGTAAACCTTTGCTTGACCTCTGCTTTAACCAATCATGTGGCTGCCTGTGACACGATAATGTGACGCGAACAATAGGTGCATTCGGAGGCGTATTACACTAGCTTATCAAATCCTCTAGTCTAATTCGCTAATAACTAATAAAACATTTGAAATGAAACTAATAAAATACAAACGGAAGTTAGGTTTAATTATAATTAGACTGCCCTAATGGGCTGAAGGATTATGTCCTCATGTGTTGAACCTAATTCTGACCCATGTAAAATAAAGAGTTTATTATTATTATTATTATTAGCCCTAGAGATAAGTATTTATGATGTTGATGTAATCCTGTTCAATAAGTTTCCTTACTGTACTTGATATTGCCCGAGTCCTAAAACTCTCAAATTTTGCTTTCAGACAGATCCCAAGAGATTAAAGAAAGAATTACCGAAAGCCTTGAAGAATGTGAAAGGAGAAGATAGGTTATTATTAGTGGGTACATCAAGATGTCCATTTGAGGCTGAGATGAAACCATTTGTTGGTTGTTATCAACGTATTATATTAATACCTAGACCAGACTATGCTTCTAGACACTGTAAGTTATACCTGTACTATAACATGTTCTAATTCAAACCATCTGTAATCCTTGTGCATACCAAGTCTTTGATAAGGCAGAGGGAGCTGCGGTGGCTCAGTGAGTTAGACGCTTTTCAACCCGGCTTCCCCCTGTCAGTGATGCAGGTAAGAGGAGCTGACATGGAAAAAGTGTCTAGTCGTTCGGATGGGACAATAAAACGAGGCCCCATGTGCTACAGGCTGTGAACGTTAAAGATCCCTTGACAGTTGGAAATCAAAAAAGAGCAGGCTAATGCTGATGTCCTGGCAAAATTTCCCTCATTGCATCTTGCATGACGTTGCCCGTCTTCATTAGCCCACATGGTGCAGTAGGACGTAAAAATCCATAAGATCCATAAAATCTGATAAGGCAGAAAGGAGAGAGAACATGGTTGTCCTTACAAAACTACGTATAGTTCTTACATAGAAATAACCCAGACACGAATGTAGTTCACATTAATTTTGAATCTCTTCCTCGACTTAGTAATTTGTCATCAAGCTTGTTGGAATATTTAGGTTTGGCTAATGAAGATAGACAATACCTGAAAGTGATATTAGGCTACCTGATACTCGTTTTCATTATACCACATATTTATAATGTGACTGAATATGTAGCATTAATCACAGTCTATTCCTGAACTAGAATATATTGAAGCTGATGTGAAGCTATCCAAGCAGGTAAAAAGTTTTCACTTCTTCTGGAGATATGAATCTGAACATTCCACTGCTGTATTTTCAGTATTATGGCGTCATCTGATTACTAAAAATGGTGGAACAATAAGTAACCTGTTAGATATCAGTTCTTTATCAAAGGTTACAGATGGTTATACCCCAGGCCATATGGTTACAGCTGTTCATCAAGTATTAACAGATAGACGTATACAGCAATTAGCCAAAAAGCCATTACAATCTGTAGAGTTTATAGCTCCACTAGCTCGTATTGACCCTATTTATAAAGAGGAAGAAGAATCATTTAAGGTAAGATTCAGCCAAATGAATTTTAAGAGCCTTCCAGGTTGTTTTGAAGCCCTGGAATCTTAATGAGTTAAAGGTATACTACCTTCCAGGATGACCAAAAAATTAAAACTAAAATGAATGAAATAAATCCATAAAACTAAGTAATTTTAATGATTATTTAGTTTAATGAATATATTATCTCATATAGAGATTCTATTCTTTAATCATGACACCTTGTAAATCCAAAAGTTTGAGACTTTTTTTGGTCCATTTTAAGAGGTAGTATATTTTGAAAATTCGCTACCAGCATAGTTTAAGGTAATAGTTTTCCTTCGCATTATCCAAACCCCCCTACAATGAAAAAGTATCTTTATATGTGGAGGAAAAATTAACCAAACCATCATGTGCTACAGGCTTAGTTACTTAAAGATTCCTCAATAGTTAACAATCAAACTGGAATAGTCTAAAGCTGTAGTCAGCCAAATTTTCACTAATTGCACACTGTGTGGCAATGTCTTCAATGACTTATGTACAGTGGCCAAATATCTTTAAATAAGCCACAGAAAGGTAGATCATGGTCGGAATTATATTTTTTAGTCATGGTATGCTAAAACTCCACTGGGAAAGAAAAGAGCCAAAGCTGCTCAAGCTGATGAAGATGGTGATGGTGGTGGAGGTAAAGGTGGAAAGGGCAAAAAAGGAAAGAAAGGCAAGAAAGGAAAAAAGGGCAAGAAAGGCAAAAAATAACATGTACATTTATAATATGCAGCATTATGTGATATGTATAGGAAACTTTTTAAGAAGAATATTAAGAAATTATAGTTGTTTTGTGCTATAGCTGGATTAGAGAGAATATTGATCAGGTCTTCCAAGTTAAGTTATCTATGTTTAATAAGCCCTGTTTATATTATTAAACTTGTCTGTTCTGAGAACTGTTCCCACAACGGAATTGATAAAAAGCAAGGTGTCTAAACATACAAGTGTTCTGAGAACTGTTCCAATTCAAGACTACAGAGAAAATTTCTCAGAATGGAACACATAAAATATCTTAGAGTAAACTGTATCCGTTCCGAGAACAGTTGTTGAGCATGTGTCCTAACCGCTTGACATTTTCTGTGAGCAGACAAATTTGCCTTCATGGAGAGTTTCATCTAAAATGCGTCTGAGAGCAGATCGTTTACACTATTGTTATAGAACTATTCTTGGAATGCTCCAAATTGTAGTAGTGTAAACTGTAAGAATTAGGTGATTTTACTGAGTCCAGGTCTAGACCGAGAACAGAACAATTAGCTTTCTAATGTAAACAAGTTATAGTCTAGTAGGGATTTAAGAGGTTTTGAGTGAAACACCATTCCATTTTAAGGCACAGCATACAATACGTAATAATTTATAACTTCACAAAAACAATTTTGATATCAAATGGTACACGTAGAAAGACATCCAAGTTGAATTGTGCCTTAATGTTTTTATGTTTGAAGATTCTATCTCACTGGCCAAAAACTTGACTTGGAAGCCCTTATCATTTTCTGTTTAATGGAGGTTGGTTCATGACTGTGTTTATCTATAGATATTTTGAAAATAAATTGTTAATATCTTAATTTATTATCTATTTTATATTTATTTTAAATAAACAACTGATTATAATAATATGTTTATTATTTCTAAGTTGAAATCTTTACATCATGTAACTGATTTATGTGCTAGCTTGAAATCTAGTATCAGTAACCTTGAGTTATTATTGTCCACCTAGCTGTAAATTGGTACAGATAATCCATAAAAATCAGTCTCATTAAAATTATACCAATTTGTTTCATTCTATAGCTGATATTTTTAATATAGCCTTTTCAGTTAGGGTCTAAAGTCTGGCCTCTTTAACATTTGTCAATAACCTTTTGACTCTGCTAACAAATCAATTTTCTGCCCTCTCATCTTGTGAGAGAATGAAGGGATTTGATTGGTTAGTGGGATGAATATTGAAGAGGCCCGACTATATTAAAAATAGAAGTGTGATCTAATTTGAATTGGACTGCATCCTGTTATCAAGTGGTTTGTTCAAGAACTAGCAGATAGAAAAAAAATATAAAATTCTTATCCTTGTTATATGACCAGACATATTCAACTGTAATTGAAATCTGGCAAAAACTTTCCTTTCACCAAGTTATATGAAAATAGATTGAAAGCAAAAAAATCTTCATCATTTTTATACGCCCACATGAAATGAATTCTGGATGGATTTTGATGAAACTTGGTGTGAGTCAAAAAATATTTAGTATGAGTTATTGTCCTTGTTCTTAAAACACGTTTCAAGACTCTAGAAGGTTCAATTATTGACAGATATTGATGAACCATGGTGAAATTGTTTATTATCAATTATATTATGGATGAAAATCAAAAAATGTTTTATAGGAGTCATTCAATTTTTAGCTCGTAAACACTAATAGGCAGAATTCTTACAAATTTTGACAAAACTTGGTAATATTATTCAGTATCGCCCCAAAATGTTCTAAAGAAGTGTTTGACTGAAGGTTGAATATTTCATTCTGGTGATTGTTACTGTACTGCTAAATATTTTTATTCAAAATCAAAGCTGCCAGTGGGCGTATATTACCTTGCCTGGCAAGCTTTCTTTCTGATTTTCAATAGGGTTTTTACCTTGGTTGATAACAAACGCTCATGCCAAGTTTCGTCAAAATCCATCAAGAATTGTGTCTTCTAGAGTATTTACAAGCTAAAAATTGAGCGCATTTTCAAGAACAAGGGCAATAACTCATACTAAATATTTTTCGATTCTCCTGATTTTCAATAGAGTTCATCCTTGGGTGATTATGAACACTCATGCCAAGTTTCGTTAAAATCCATCAAGAATTGTCCCTTTCTAGAGTGTTTACGAGCTAAAAATTGAACGCGTTTTCAAGAACAAGGGCAATAACTTATACTAAGTATTTTTCGATTCTTTTAGATTTTCAATAGGGCTCATCCTTGGGTGATAACAAACTCATGCCAAGTTTTGTCAAAATCCGTAAAGAATTATGTCTAGTAGAGTGTTTACGAGAAATTGTGGACGGACCGACGGACGGACATGGGTGACGGCAATATACGCCCCCCCATATCATGTGGGCGTATAAAAAAGATAGTGGACCACAGCCATATACGCCCTTTCATCAAAATCGGTTGAAAACTAAGAGAGTAATAGCATATTCAAGATTTTGGGGCAAGGGCAATAACTCTGCTTCTAACGGTCGAAAATAGCTCAAATTCTAACTTGATCTTCGTTTTATGAATATGTGCACACATACCGAAATTTCATTTGAATCCATCAAAAAATCTAGTTTTTAGAGCGTTTACAAGAAAATGTTGACCAACAGACGGACAGGGGTGCCGACAATATACGTCCACATAGAGAGATGTGGGTGTACAATAAAAAAGATATAGATTATGATACAATTTTTTGTCCCTCAGAATTGTCAGAAATGAGTTCTCTGGGCCTTTAATCATTCAAATTTTCTGAGCCATAGCACCAATTCATTCCTGGCTATGAGGCTTGCAGATATGGGTGATTTCAATAGGTGAAATATGAAATTTCATATCACTGCTCACCATTAATAACTATAACAAACAATTTTATTAACTTTTTATTTGTACACAGTACAATTTCTATATATGATTCTTGTGAAGCAAGACATTATTATATTATATTCTATACAGGGCAAGATATACTTCATCTTAAAACTACAAACTTATAACAGGGAAGGCTTGACAGTAAAATCAGAGCAAAAAAAATATCTGCTTCAACTTGAACCCTGTATGAATTCAACTATAATTTAACTTTCAAATAACCAAAACAGTAAAGACAAAGATACATACAGGCAGGGTTCAAAATGTAAGAATGAACCCCCTAGTTTAATTTGTAGTGGAATAAACAGTAATTGAAACTACACAAGATAAAGTTTGAATTCATCTTAAAATAATCACAAATATCAGATGCCATTATGTCTTTCAGTAACATATTAAAGACATACTTCAACAATTCATAAACATAACTTCTTATATCCTTATATTACAGTTAGCAACTATTCAAACTGAAAACATATCTCTACTAACTATGGCCATTTTCTTATTTGCAAGTTAATTTATAATCAAATAATTATAGAGGTATATTATTCATACAGCAACTTAAAATATCACAACTTTATATAATAAATTTGAGATCAATAAAAGAACACAGCCATTTTTTCTTACTTCTTGAGAATACTAAGTCTATTGTCTGTGCAAAGTAAAAAGTTTTTTCTATCATTTTAAGAGAATTGGAATAGCAGCCTCATAATAGTACTGTTAGTTAAAAATATAAACATAATCACACATTATGTCTTCAAAAGTTGCTTTTACAGAGGCTCATTTTCAGCCAAAATTTTTGAAGTTTTTTGGGTTGAAATTTCTAAGAGGGAAATGAGTTTCTTTTCAATGTTAACTTACAAAAAAATATATTTTAATCAAAGCAAAGACATTCTAAGACTATTAGTACTATTTTGGGGCTGAAATTCCAATTCTCTTGAAAAATATCGAAAAAATTAAAAAAATTTATATTGATATCTGGTATAGATTTGTCTTCAATGTTAATTGTTGAATTTTTTTTTGTCACTGATTTTATACATTGTATCTAAAGTTGCTTTCACACCTTATTGATCAAAAGTTGGGAATAAAAATAGTAGTCAAAAGTTTTGAATGCAAATCAGTTGTGAGTCAGGTTTTTTCTTAACTTATGACCACTTTCATTATTCACATCCATCACATCTACTTATCACTATGGTGTAAGAACACCTTTAGTTTGTGCCAATACCTGAAAGCACAACACAACCATAATACTTAACTTGAATCTGAAAGTGGTGACGTTAAAAAGACAATTTCTTAATTTATAGAACTATCCTTTCCATTAAAATCTAAAACTTTTTAAAAGCCAAATAACTGACGATGATTAATTATAGTTGTCACAGTAATTTCAACCTATCATTCAAGCCCATTTATCACTACTGATTCTCTAGATTCCTACATAGGGACAATCGCTATTTTCAAGGATTGATTTGAGTATTAAATACATGTATATGTAAATAGTCTTCAGAAATACTAGAATTGTACAAAAATCGCATAATTCCTTTAAAAACAACCCAAACTAGGAATTTCACTTTCTTTTTCTATATATATCTTTTATTTATGGCAGTCTGATCAGCTTAACTAAAAAATTCCTGATTCTGAGACTAAGGTACGATTGGTCAAACAGATGGTGAACCTGTCCCTTTAAGTAGACTTACAGATTTGTCAGGTACTAAAAACCATCCAATAATACTGTCATTTGTCCAAGTTTACCCTTTAAGTTTTCATGAATTCTATCTTTAAATAAATGCATTATAATATCCACTAGAGTTACAGCCATTTTAGATATCACAGTTACTGGTATTCATAATGTTAAATCATATCATTTCACCTAAAAAATACTGAACTATCATCATACAGTGTTATAAGTTACTATAGTTTTCTAGTTACTAGCATAATATCAAAAAAAGAAGAATTCCTCTAAATAGAAGATGTAAGGGAATCCTAATTATAGGACTTGCATCACCTTGACATCACTTTGTTTAATGGAATATCAAGACAAACACAAGACAACTCATCACTGCTATCTTATCAAGAATTCCTCACATTTTAAATGGAAATAAAATATATTGCAATGCCCTTTTAAAGTAAAAAAATATTTTGAACACATAAAAACACAAATTCATAATTAAAGCTAAGGTGAACACAAAAAGAAATAATTCAATCCCTTTCCTAAATTACTATACAACAAAGTACAGGGTATTAAAATTTGGGATGAAAGCAGATTGCACTAGTATTAGACTAGTATATATCACAATACAATGTATAATTTGTACCAATAGTACTCATTAGTTTGTTTCTAGGAAACATCAGGTAAAGGGGCCGAGCAGGGGCAACAAAAATCTTTCTCGAGGTGGGGCCACAGGTCATTCTTTTACTGTATAAAATAATAAAAAAATTGAAAGTGGGGGTTGCCAAAGTCCGGCTAGTCTCTTTTCTGTAACGCCACTAGTACTCATAGATAAAGTAGTTTTCAAAAATAGTAATCATAAAATAATATGCAGATACAGCTCAAAAGTGTTGATGACCAATAATTGTATCTCAGACATGTTTTAACATTTTTTATTTGATATGACTATGAAGGGTTTTATTTACCAGATATGACAACATGGTACGACACGACAAAAAAAAAAAGGACTATACCTACTGGTGTTCTGTAACACAACAAATCAAGATAAAAAAATTTTGTTTTTTTGTTGTTTTGTTCCATGTCTTAAATTTCAGTAAATATGGCACGGCTTTTTTCAAAACAATAAACACAAAGCAGTCAGCTTTTCTTGTTAGCTCGTATTTGTTTTGTCGTGTCATTTCAGTTAATTTGGATATATATAGAAAGTCGTACTATGTTGTGTCATATCGTATAGTGTTGTGTCATAACATACAGTGTTGTGTCATATCGTACCATGTCATATCTTAGTGTTGTGTTGTATCGTACCGTGTTGTGTTGTATCATACCACGTTGTGTCGTATCGTACAGTGGTGTGTCATATCGTACAGTGTTGTGTCATATCGTACCATGTCATTTTTTACAGTGTTGTGTCGTATCTTACTGTGTTATGTCAAATCGTACCGAGTTGTGTCATATCGTACCGTGATGTGTCATATCGTACAATGTTGTGTCATATCGTACTATGTTATGTCATATCATACAGTGTTGTGTCGTATCTTACCGAGTTGTGTCATATCGTACCGTGTTATGTCATCTCATACGATGTTGTGTCCTATCGTACCATGTTGTGTCGTATCGTACTGTGTCGTATCGTACCGTGTTGTGTTGTATCATACCATGCTGTGTCATATCGTGCCATGTTGTGTCCTATCGTACCATGTTGTGTCGTATCGTATCATACTATGTCGTATTGTACCGTGTTGTGTCGTATCATACTATGTTGTGTCATATCGTACCATGTTATGTCATATTGTACCGTGTTATGTCCTATCGTACCATGTTATGTCATATCATACCATGTTATGTCATATTGTACCGTGTTATGTCATATCATACCATGTTATGTCATATTGTACCTTGTTATGTCATATCATACCATGTTGTGTCATGTACCGTTTTGTGTCATAATGTACTACGTCGTGTCATATCGTACCGTGTTGTGTCATATTGTACTATGTTGTGTCATATCGTACCATGTTGTGTCATTTTGTACCATGTTGTGTCATATCGTACCATGTTGTGTCATATCGTACCGTGTTGTGTCATATTGTACTACGTTATGTCATATTATACCATATTCTGTCATATCTGATGTATAAAGTCCTTTAGTTAAACAATCAATTATGGCTAGGACTGTTCTAGAATATTTCTTTTGGCATTAAATGAGACAGCACTTACTCTCTGTAAACTAGTAAGTCTTCTATGACATATTTGATCAAACTTCTATATGTATATGAGTACTGTAGAATATAGAATACTAGACTGATCAGATCAAACACTCCTTGTCAAAACTTTAAAGGGATTGTAAAGAGGTTTTCTAAATTTGTTTAAGTGTATTGTGGACACTGATAGCATCAATTTGTGCAATTCCAATTTTCATTCAGATGTCTGTGATTTTGTGATTTTGTGCCATTAGTGACATTATCCAACACTTAGTTTTAGTCAAATTGCAGGAACCACAGACGTCTTATTGAAAATTGGAATGGCGCAATTTTATGCTATCAGTGTCCCCAATACGCATAAAAAAATTTAGGAAACCCCTCTGATAATCCATTCACTAAACATTTGCTCTACTGAATATTTATGATGGGCTCATCAATTATAATGTTAAAGAGTTTAATGGCAATGTTTCACTGAATGCCTCTATTAATATATACCATGGTAAGTAATCAATCAAACTGTGTAGTTGTATACTCGATGGCTGAATACCAGAGTTCAATTAAATAGGTATTGCATTGTTTGTGAGTCAAAATAACCCTTTTTGTGATCCAATATTCTTTCTGATTCGCCAAAATTGAAATTTATCACGAGAATCAGCAAATCAAATTGTGTATTTTTCTGTGAGAATGGTCTAGATATATATAACACAACTCTTGGCAAAACCTTACGCAACTAACATCAAAGGTTAATAGAGACATAAATTGAGTAAATTTGATTGAAAAACCCGCCATAGCCAGATATCTTTAAACTTTTACCTAATATAACCAAATAACAACTATAAATCTTCCATTCCTAAACAGACACCTGATCAAGTTAGTAAGAACATAACAAATCAACAGAAATTAATACATTCAGATAACTTTTGTCAGGAAATACATCTTCAAACCAAGATCTGAAATCTATTCTGTATCTCTACACACTGAAATCAGCACGTTCTTGTGGTTGCTGAAGTTCTGCAAGTTGTTGTTGGGTTCTTAAATACTCTGTATATAACTGACGTGCCATAAATAATACTTTATGAACATTATGTCGACGTACCATCTTGTCAAAATGCATGGCCACTTCCTCATAGTCCATATTATTGCTCATGATATAATCTCTATGCTGTAACATCAAAGCTAAACACAAAAACATTAAAAATGGATTTCCACAACCAAACTCTTCAGGAGAAGGGAGATTAACACTTTGGGAATTAGAGACAGGAGTTTCAATTGCTTCTACACAATCAGAGATATGAGAATCAGACATTTTACCACTTGACCCATGAGACGTTGATAATTCTAAATACGAACTAGAGTTACTTTTTTGAGCACTTTCAGTCAGAGAGTTCTCTGCTTCCTTCACAATACTGATATTAGTAGGCCGACGTTTTGGGGAAGACAACATGCGCTTCATGTTACCAAAGAACCCTCCTGAATCTGATTTAGGGGTCGATTGTTCAGCAACAGGAGGAGTGGCCTCACCACTAGCTTCCAATGACATATGGAACTGAGTATGTTGATCACTCTCTGGTTCTAGTTCTAAAAGACCTTCATCCCTCTCTTTCAATTCATCTTTAATAGATGGTTCTGATACAGTTATTGAACATTCTGTTAATGTAGAGGCATCATATTCCTCATTATGTCCATTAAACTTCGTATCTTCAACTGTTTCATTGACTGGAATGTTTTCTTTAAATTCATCATGTTTTAAATTCTCCACATTATTTCGTATTTCTAGAGGGCAGGTGGCATCATGAAGGTGTTTATCGATATTCGATGATGTTTCTTGCATGGCTTTAGTCAAGGGATCATCTAACCTTGGAAAATCTTGACTGGATTTAGGATCATCTACAGGCGAGGAATCGAATTTGGTCATGCTGTTATTGTTAGCAGAATTACCAGGAATCAATTCATTGTTAGCACCAAGTTTCTGGGCTGATCCTAAGCGCCTCATAGCTAATAATTTGGCATAAACAGTTTGTTGAAAGGAGAAGGTAGGAGAACAAGGTGAGGTTGAAAGAAGATGTACATTGTAATCAGAATCGGTTAATTCCAGTTCAGTCTCGGGAGGATCTGGTGGTAAGGTACTCCACATCACTTCTATCATGTATAATGCATCTTCGAATGGAAATTCACGTTTCAGCTCTAATAACAGCCATCGATAGCAGAAAAATAAATCATGAGCACAAATTTGTTGAAGGTAGGCATAAAATTCCGGATCATTGATTTGTAACAAGAGTCCTAAATGTTTAAATTTTAACATAATGGCTGCACCATCTGGCATAAAATTCAATTTCAGTCTTTTCATGATGCCACAGAAACATAAATAGGCTTGAGCCTCATCTTTTTGTGTAACTAAAATAGGGGAAGCAATATCACTCATTCCTTGACAATACGACACATCAGGATGAGTTAATGCATAAGTCACTAAGATATGAAACAACATGACGACATTCTCATTATCATCAGAACCAGCGAAAAACTTGTGTCCACGATCTGTTCTTAAAACATCTTTTTTCACCATGGATGCCACATATTTCACTTCTTCAGTAGCTGTATCAGAACTGAACCTAGCTTTCCATTCTTCACGAAGATGATAATACTCTTTCTCCTTTCGTTTCATATAATCAAACCTTTCCCGGCCTGTCATATTGGCAGGGTAAATATTACATAAATGTCTCCAGGCTACACGACGTAAAGAAGCCTCGATACCACCTTGATATATTCCTAATCGAAATTCTTGAGGTTTGAGCAGGAAACCTACACTATCAAGATAATTGTGGAATTCTGAATCACTCATCGGTGGTTTACATGGTTTAAAATCATCATCACCACGGAAACCTGAAACATAAGGTGAACATTTCTTTTAAAAATATTTAAAATCTTTTGTCTTCTAAACTTCATCATGTCAAGATGGCAAGTCACTCACTGTCTAGACTAAGTCCACTTTTTATGCAAATGTATACGAATGTAGTCTGTGCTATTTTTAGCAGTCCTCTTTCTCTTTCCCTCTTGGGGTTTTTGCATGCCAATTTTTGATAATTATTGGGCTATCTTTGGAAGTTGATATCTAAAATTGCATTTTCTTTCAGATTTTGTGAGATGATGAGAGGTTTACATGCGGAAGGATAATTCTAAAAATAGTCGTTTTGTGCAGTGACAGTCAAGCAGATGTTGATAAAATGTAGTGGTCTACTTTCAGTTTGGCTGGCTTAAGATTTTCATGGTCACGATATATTGAAATTTTGTCAAGAAACTAAGTTTGGCATTTCTAGAAAAAGTTATAGAAGGTTGAATTTCTTGATTTAAAATGGAAACAGATGGCAAGCAAATTACTGGAGTCAGTCCTGTTTTATTATCATAAATTCTATGACAAGTTATCTCCCTTACACCAAAAAAATATGGTCAAGACTCAAAAATAAAATAAATTTGGGTTTTATACCCTACTTTTTATCTAATTCTTATTGCGACACTTTTGCGAAGAAAATTATATAAGTGTAATGTTGCACATTGCTTTCATCAATTATACGACCTTTTGTTTTTATGCATCACTGTATTATTTTCTACACCAGGATATCGTTCCACAACAAATTGTAAGTTTACGATTACAAAATAAACTTATGACTGTCGTAAATTTACAATTACACGTATGATTAGAAGAAATCGTAAGTTACTCTCTCGATACATAGGTAAATAAACCTTTGTAGTTACCACAAACAAACATGCTCAGAAACAAGTTCTGCGTCAGCATTCAGCCTCCTTCGTCAGTTCGTGAATAGTAGCAGACGACAAAATCAGAAAGTTGTAGAAATTTTCTTTGATGTTTGGAATCAAATTAAAATTATTGAATATTGAAAACTATTATTTGCAATAATAATTTTTCTAAGTATTTGTTTGACTTGCACGTAGTCATGGTAGAGGTAGTAGGTTAAGGGTTTTATAAGTGCATGCATGGTGAACATTGTCTTAACACTATGACAGCTTTGGACCTGTTGTTAAATCAAGATTTTTTGTGGAACACCTAAATCTTTGGTTTAAATGTTTACGATCGTCTTATGATTAAAACCAGATTTTTTGTGGCACGATACCCTGTTCAGGTCAGGTCAAATCCAAAAATATTGGTGAAGCCTAATTAACTATACAATCTACTTACCCATTGCTCTTTGCATACTAGTAACAGATCGACCAATTTGACTACTAATAGTACCAGTTATAGAGTATAATATAGAACCTTTATCAGCTATAGTAGAAACTTTATGTTGTGGTATATCTGTTGGTGCTATTACATCCCAATCATCCAAACCTATAGTGTAAATAATCTGGTTTATTCTTAACATGACCTAACAACATTTACTGAGTACTACCATATTTTTATCCCAGGAAGACAGATAAAGACAGACAGAAAGAAAGAAAACAATTATTATTTCCAAGGATAACAACTTAGATTCACAAGGACACTTTCCACCAGCTGGTCCTTTCTGGATTAACAAACATTTACAGCTCCCTGGATTGGAAAAATGTCAAAAAATGACCAATTCATGGTCATCAGGCTATCAAACACTGATTGAGTTAAGAATCCACAACAACCATTTGTTCGACATAACCAAGCAAATGACTTGATTCCAAGGCATTAAATCTGACAAGTCCAAACATTTCAAGAATTTGAAGAGTGTTTGAACAGTCTGGTTTTTGTTAATTAAAAGGGACAGATTCTCCATTTTCATGGTTTGATTAGGGTTGTGAATATATGTAATTAATCTACTAGAAATGTATAAAAATTGCATGATTCCTTCAAATATAATCTCAAAATAGGAATTTTATGTTCTATTTCTATAGGTCTTTTCTATGTGGCACAGAGTCAAGAAATGACAAGCTGTCTTTTAACTTTCAAATGCGGATAATTCTAGACACACATGGATTTGAAGGCTCAATAAACCGATAAACTTAGCTAAAAAATTCCTGTATCTGAGACTAATGAAAGTTTGGGTCAAAAAAATGACGAACCTGTCCCTTTTATTTCTAATAGAATTATTTAGATAACAATCAACACAAGACTGCAAATAAAGTATAATTCAACCTTACCTTCTTCAAATGGCTTGAGATCAACTTTCAGACGTAGACAAGGATCAGCTGCACATTGTATAGCAGCATCCATATCCCAATCTGATAACATAGCTAAATATACATCTTGATCTTCTGTATCTTTAGCTAAATAACTAATCATAAACTCCCTAAAACATAGAATCAGTAAATATTGACAATTACCAGTATATACTGATAACAATATGTTTCAGTTTCTCTAATCATATCCATACAAAATAGTATTGCAAAGTAAACAAGGGGTCAAAAAGGCAGTAATATATCTAATTTCTAGATTTACATCATTTTCACCATATTTCAGAAAGTCTACATAAACCCTGTTTCTACTGAGAATTGTTAAGTAAAGCCAGCATTAAGCTTAGAGCCAGCTTTATTGCCAAAGTGTTGTGTTTACTCCGAGTTTAACTGGTTCCCGATCGATTTTATTCGCGTTCACAAAGTCGCATATTATTTACAACTCATGATGTACAAGACTACCGTTTCACCAGTAAGAAATGTAATAGACTGGAAAGACCAGTTAAGTAAAAGCTAGCTTTCAGTTGACCTCCAATAAATTGCCGAACGTAAAAGAGAGGTTTTCGGTTCCCGAACCATAACGGTTTGACAATTTGCCCTGTGGAAACACACAAGAGATAGCTTAAAGCCAGCTTTTCCCCTCAGTGGAAACACAGTTAATATGTACAAACGATCAACCATAGCCCTAAGTCTCAAAATTTATTTTTTTCACTTTAATAAAATTCAAATTTATTTTTCATCAATTACTTTTGTTTTCTCTTAAATTTACCACAGACACTATCCATAATTTCAAAATTTTTTTAGAGACAACAAAAATCCTACTAAAAGTGGACAAATGATTAATGAAGTTCAAGAGTAAAGACAGAAGCAAAGCATCTCCATTTATCAGACTTAATACTTTTCTCATAAACAAACAATTCTCAAAAGTACAAAAATTATCAAGATTCAAGGTCGGTCAAGTAAACAAATTTCCTCATTCAGTTGTGATGACAAGATACAATGGCTGGCTGAACAGTTCCAAGCCTCACTGTGAAAGAACTGTACCAAGTCCATCTCCTACAAAAGTCATTCAGAGTGGAAATGACATCATCATTAATGGCAACTGTCTAGTTCCTTTTTTACTTTGGGAGAAAGTGTCAGACAGGGCCGAAATGGGTGAATAAGGGGGGATGTGTTTGAAAGAACAATCAAGCACGGCTGACCACAGGTTTATGAGCAAAAGCTTTGAAACTACATAAATCAGCATTCTCTGTCACCACAACATAAGATGCAATTTCATCAGATGAATATTGGCAAATGGAGTCACCCACAAAAAACATGCAATGAAACATCAAGATTTGCATTTAAATCAGATTGACAAAAAAAAAAAAAAAAAAAAAAGATAGTTTGTCAGGGAAGGTAATATACACCCACTGGCAGATTTTGATTTTGAATAAAAATATTTGGCAGTACAGTAACAATTACCAGTATGAGTCATACATTTCTTTTGAACTTTTTGAGGCGATACTAAACGAGTTTTCGTAAAAATCCATCCAGAATTGTGCATTCCAGAATGTTTATGAGCTAAGAAATTGGAGAACAAGGGCAATAACTCATATAATAAAGTTTTCGATTTTTCTGATTTTCAAAAGGGTTTATAGTTGGATGATAACAAACTCTCATGCAAAGTTTCATCAAAATCTGTCATGAATTGTCCAGCTTTGAGTGTTTACGAGCTAAAAATTGAACACATTTTCAAGAATAAGGGCAATAATTCCTACTTCATAATGTTTGATTCTTCTGATTTTCAGTAGGGTTTCGTCAAAATTCGTCAAGAATTGTGTCTTTTGGAGTGTTTACGAGCAATTGTGGACGGAAGAACGAATGGATGGACCGATGGACATGGATAACAACGATATATGTCCCCTTTTTCTTGATTTCAATAAAATAGAAGACACACAAACCATTTAACAAAGTTTTTTACTGCTCCATTTTTAGTTGATCCAAATAATGTGGATACTTTATAGCACAACACATGGGTAAACATTTAAAAAAATAATCTGCTATAGAAAACACTAAGTAGTCCTAAAGCCCTTTGGGATTATTCCTGTGGATATATAAATATATCGCAAATACAATTACAGAAGGAAACATATTTCTGTTGTAGAATACATACCCTTTTATATCAAAGGCTCTAGCTAAAATTCCTTGTAACATTTCAAATGATGTAATTTGAGGATCTATAGAGAATTTCTTATATTCTGGTTGCACAAAACCATCACATTTCTGAAATAAACAAAAATACAGATTTTATTATTCATGGTGAAAATAAACAGGTTGAAATGTTGATGTTACAGCTTAAGATAAAATATTAACTGTTTAAAACAGAATGATGATTACATTGAAAGTGTTCAACAGTACATTAGACAAGTTCTATGACGTCAAGAAAATGAGCTATTATTTCTTTTTAGATAACATTTATAAAAGATAATTCTTCTACATTTCTAGGAAAATATATCTAACGTGTATTCAACATAAGAAATAAACTTGACACCTAATATAAAAGATAAAGATTGGTTGTGCGACCAGTTATAATATTACTGTCAATGTTTTATTTTATTGTTAATGGCCATGGTTCATCATTTTATGAGGTTAATCAATCATAAATCTACGCCTGAGAATAACCGCGTATGAATCTGGCGGTTAAATAGGACTACTTTCAAATATTAGGTCACAATGTGACAATAACCTAATTTTCGTCTCCATTGTTGACATCTGTTCAGTCTCTGACGCCAAGACTTCTCCTGTCTATGACGATGATAGTCTTCAAGGGAGATAAATAACCTCAAACAAACTAGCGGATGAAAGTTCTGCCTAACAATTAAAGAAGATTTTCTTCCAGCTACATATGAGGTTATTGTCAGACAATGGCTGCCGTAGATACGACTGGGAGGTTGAATTGAGCATTGAATAAAAATCAAGACAATCAAAAATTTTGTCCAAAGAATGGCAAAATCAGGGGGTGAAGGTAGTATAGTAGTGGACACAAGCAACACCTACCACTACTACAATGGTCCAAATCATGAGAAACAACAAGATCAATTGATGTCTGACCAAATAAATCAGCCAAAATGTCAGACTGTAAATTTCACTTTTTATTTTGTTTCTTTCACTTGTCTCTGCTTGAAAATGTAGTTTCCAAAAATACGGTGTACAGATAATTTTCGTATATAATTATCTGCTTTTGAATGTTAAAATGATAACTTGTCAATTTAAGATACTCTGTGATATATAGACATAACATATATAGAAATAGTGAGTAAAATTTCTAGTTTGAAGTATTTTCAAGGGAATTATGTGATTTTTGTACATTTCTAGTACTTCTCAAGACTATTTACATATATTCAAGACTCAAATCAACCCCAAAAATGCAGCACCTATCCCTTTAACAGTTCTACAATATGGCGTGGGTCTTGAAAAAGAAGTTTTGTCAAAGTAATTTTCAAGCAAGGAAACATGTGGCTTTCAAAAAAATTACTGATTCACCAAGTTAAAGAATTCCCCTTATTAAGACAATTTGATTAACAATATGGTACTATGTGTATTAACAAGTGGTTGCCTAGCAAGATACGCCCACTTTCCTCGTACATTTTCAGTATATCAAGGGCAGTCACCTATCTGTGTCAAATCATACCAAAAATCTAATTTGTGCAAGATATTGTTGATTTAAACAAACACACATTATTTAATAAAATTCTGACATAAAGCGTCACCTCTTTCGCTAACAAATTTTGATGTGTTTTTACTAAGTCAAGGGCAATAACTCAAATTCCGATGATCGAAATTGTCAAATTCAAGTTTATATCATCCACAATCCACATAATAATGTGGGTGTATAAAAAGCATTGCAGAAAAATTGCAAAGCTTAATATTGAAAAATGATTTTGAATAGCATAGTTGATTTCTTTCTGACCAAGAATATTTTGTTCAAAATTTTTTATGACTTAGTAGAGTGATGTAACCAATACAAATACTGGTAAAACCAAATGAAGTATTTTATTTAAGAACCAGTAGGTAGAAGGGATCCTAAATGAACCAAGGTTGTTATCCATGTATATTTCAGTTGATTCTTTCTTTCATTATTAATCAAATGGTATTAAAATCTCTGTTATATGTACTTAATTTAATATTTATACTGCTGACCACGAACTTATTATTGTTTATAATGTCTTAAGATCTAAGTATGACTGAAGTAACCCATACAAAAACCGGTATAAACAAAGGAAGAATGAGAGATAGATTGCTATCATTGGTATTAAGTAATAGGTCAAAAACCCTTTGTATGTAATCTAATACTTTTATTGCTGACTAAATACTATTTTTTTCTTGAACATAATCCAAGAGTATCTGTAATAATATAACCACAAAATAACGACTTAATAAACTACCGAAATTACATCACTGCCCTAGTCAATTTTATACTGTTTATTTATAAAGGATTTTTATGGAGCCTTAAGAGATGAATTATCAAACAAGCTTATTACAATACAATTAAAGACAAGAAAAAATAAAGGGCTAATATCCTTCATCATAAATAGAATTGTCGAAAGCTGTCCAGTTAATCTGGCCAACAAGGAATGGTATGTCTGTGCAAGGCAACCCCCCACTCCCCAAAGAAAAACTACAATAATTTTAAAACTTTATATGAAAGATGAAACACAAGATTAGCTGATGCTATATTTAAACTGATTTTTTTTTTACAAAGACGGCTCCTAGCGGTACAGAGCTTGCCTAGTAGTATCATAGATCACAGATATGTCAATGAAATGAAAAATGAGTTTAGTGTCAAAGATGCCGATTGGGTATTTTTACCAAAAATCGTAAAGTCTACAGAGCAGTCAGTTATGATAGTTGACACCTGTAACAAGCTTTGTCTAGTCTCATATCTTACATCATGTTAATTCCTACTTCACAAATCAAGAGCATAAGCTGACTACTTGTCCATGGTCTAGTACATAATGGTAATCCACACCACAGGTATTGCTTAAATTAGTCTTTGATGATTGAACAAAATAGACAATAAAAGATACCTAATGAGATACCTGCTGAGATAATAGACTGGCAAATTTTATCTTCTACAATAACCTGTCTACCCAAATGTCAAAGAAAAGGACATATAGAAGAGATTGTAAAGAGATTTTCTAAAATTCCTGTGTTTGTGAGCATCAATTTGCACCATGCCAATTTTTATTTTGTTGTTTGTGGTTCTTGTCATTCCACTTAAACTAAGCCATTTATGATATCAATCTTGCAAAATATAATATAAGGTTCTTGCAATAGTTGGTCATAAATCGCTTAGTTTAAGTGGAATTGCAAGAACCACAGAAAACCAAATAAAAACTGGAATGGTGCAAATCGATGCCATCAATACCTTTAAAGACAGGTTCCCTTTTTTTCATTGAAAAAATGAAAATGCTAATACTTATATGAATAGAAAGTAGAGGTATTCTAATGATTTGGAAAAATACTGATTTGTCTCACATGTCCATAATTAATTCAAAATTAGCTAAATTAGAAGAAAATTACTAACAGAATTCCAATGAGTAACCTTTTTGTTTATCCAGACTGTACATACATGGACATTTATGATTGGTTAAAACTCTTTATTATATGCAATAAGAACATAATGATATGATTAAGAATACATGATAAGTCATTAGAGACATCAATTAATCAAATAGTTTGCTTAATTTAACACTAAAAAATAAGGAAACCAATCTTTAAGGTAAATCTTAGTATTTTCATCAGTCTGTTGATCAGATTATTTTGCCTTACAAACAAATTTTAAATCACATTTTAGAAAATAAACCCCCATTTATAACAAAACTAACTTGATGATTATTTATATGAAACATTTTCATACAACTTAAAATGAGTCCTTATCATATCAAACTATCATTCATTTTTTTATAAAAATGCTGATATCAGAATGCACAGTTTATAACAGTCAGCAAAATACACCTTATACCAGTCAAAGGCCCACAACTCTTCTGGTTGTACACTATTGTAGTATTGTACCAAAGATACAAATGTCAAAATGTAGAACATTCTGATGTCAAGCTGTAGAACTTTCTGATAGAAAATGTCAAGATGTAGAACGTTCTGATAACTTTCTGATGTCAAGATGCAAAAATGACAAGATGTAGAACTTTCTGATGTCAAGATGTAGAACTTTCTGATGTCAAGATGCAAAAATGACAAGATGTAGAACTAGATATTAAGATGCAGAACTTCCTGATGTTAAGATACAGAACTTATAGATGCCATGATGCATAACTTTTGATACTAAAGTTTTATGACAGATCCACCACTGCTACATCACTTTTCCATTTAAACATTTGAGTGAACTTTGTCAGAAAATTTCCATGACCTAATGGTGGACCCCCCTTCAAAAATTTCCATGACCTGGTGAATTAATGTTGATCCAGTGAGCCACAAGTGACCGGTGAAGAGTTCATCTGAGTGAATGTAAAGTAAACAATGGTCCATGTGGTCAGTTGAACATGAGCTGGACATGTTTTATTACTTCTAATCTTATCATTACTAACCTGTATGGCTTTAGGCCGTGCTACATTAATTCTTTTCTTTCAAGGCCAAGGCTATAAATGTCAAGATTCAAAGGATTAGAATTTATGGTACTTCTACATAATGGCTGTTAATTCAATATTCTAAAATAGTGTGTTCTAATAGGTGCTTCGTCTACCATGAATTGCAATGGTATACCAGTACTTAAATGTTCAATAACAGTTCCCTTTTCAAAACAATGTAGGAACATTGCAAGATTGTTTGTAACAAAAAAAATAACTAGATACAAAAAGTCACAACTCAACTTCCATCAAAAAATCTCAAATTTTTAACCCAATTTAAAATCATTTACCTAAGACCAGACTGAGAAATTGTAGATATCTATTTTAAAGATGGGTTTCCTTATTTCTTTACTGTCAAATCAAGCAAACTATTTGACAAATTGGTGTTTTTAATGAATTATTATGTATTCTTAATCACATCTTTATGTTCTTATCGCATATAATTAAGATTGTTAACCAATTATAAATGTTCATGTTTGTACAGTCACTCCTTGGAATTCTGCTGGTAATTCTCTTCTAATTTAGCTAATTATAAATCAATTAGGGACATGTGAGAAAAACTGGTATTTAGAACACCTCTGCTTTCTATTCATATAAGAATTAGCATTTTCATTTTCATAAATGAAAATAAAGGGAACCCAT